TTATCTATCTGAAAACTTTATAGTTTAGCAATCATCAAGATGCTATCTAGATTAAATATTGTTGTTATCTATCTGAAACCTTTATAGTTTAGCAATCATCAAGATGCTATCTAGATTATATATTGCTGTTATCTATCTGAAAACTTTATAGTTTAGCAATCATCCAGATGCTATGCATCATATTAAATTGTTAATCATATCAGTAGTTTAACCACAAGTGTCACTCGATTATTTCAAAATCTACAGAGATAACTTAATCTATCCATTTCTATTCTTGTATCTTCTGCATCAGTTTGTGAGTCACAGTTCAAAGTAATTGATTTTTAGATGGAAAATCTTTGCAAAGCAATTCCGTTGCCCGCAATTTCGCGCAATTCTGCGCAATTCCGCGAAGATTTAGTTGCTTTCTTGGTTGCAATTATAACGCAATTCCTTGCAATGATTTGGCGGAAGCAATAATTTGCGCGCAATTCCGCGACATTGCATGGTCGACAGAAAACATAGAATCATAATTTTTTTGTGTAGTTTGATCCTAAAACCCTAATATTTAAATAGTGGATTGGAAAAGAGATTGGAATTGGAATTGGGATTGGGATTTTAATGGGATTGGGATCGTTTATCATTAATATGATAGAGATTGGAAATGAAATCGGAATCAGAATTGTAAGCGGGTTTTTTTTATTGGGATTAAAATAAGGATTTTCCTGCAAATTTGAATCATTTATAAATTCCACAAATGTTTAAAAACTGAAAAATAAAAATGAATCTAATGATTAAAAAAATTCAATGATTAATAACTTATAATTAATTACCCTTTTCAGCTTGAAGTTTCAAACAGATGTTTTTTACTTGCAGCAGTGCATTGAAATAATGCAAATCATAAAAAAAAATATTATTTTAACATAAATGTTATCATTTTTTTAAAACCCTACTTTCAACCGTTTTCTAGACGTTTACTTGCCGATCTTCATCTTTATATATATAATGTTTATGTCAACAAAGTACCAGTGTATAAATATCGAGTGTTTTAAAAATCCAATTTAATTGTGTAAAGTAACTTTTCAAATTTTTTATTTGCTCAACGGATGAACAACATCGTTTGTATTAGAAAAAAATACAGATTTTTTATACAATGGACAGTCTCTTTTTTAATTTTGTGTAAAATTAAAAAAGAGAGTGTAAATTTTGCACAAAATTAAAAAAGAGACTGTACATTTTATACAAAATTAAAAAAGAGACTGTACATCTTATACAAAATTAAAAAAGAGACTGTACATTTTACATAAAATTAAAAAAGAGACTGTACATTTTACACAAAATTAAGAAAGACACTGTACATTTTACACAAAATTAAAAAAAAGAGACTGTACATTTTGCACAAAATTTAAAGAGACTGTACATTTTACACAAAATTAAAAAAGAGACTACATTTTACATAAAATTAAGAAAGAGACTGTACATTTTATACAAAATGAGACTGTACATTTTGCACAAAATTTAAAGAGACTGTACATTTTACACAAAATTAAAAAAGAGACTACATTTTACATAAAATTAAGAAAGAGACTCTACATCTTATACAAAATTAAAAAGAGACTGTACATTTTACATAAAATTAAAAAAGAGACTGTGTCTTTACACAAAATTAAATAGAGACTGTACATTTTACATAAAATTAAAAAAGAGACTGTACATTTTACACAAAATTAAAAACAAGACTGTATATTTCATACAAAATTAAAAAAGAGACTGTACATTTTACATAAAATTAAAAAAGAGACTGTGTATTTACACAAAATTAAAAAAGATACAGTACAGTTTAGTTAAAATCTAAAGAGACTATACATTTTACATAAAATTTAAAGAGACTGTAGATTTTACACAAAATTTAAAGAGACTGTACATTTTACATAAAATTGAAAGAGACTGTACATTTTACACAAAATTTAAAGAGACTGTACATTTTACACAAAATTTAAAGAGACTGTACATTTTACAACGGTTGAGTTCAGATCAATTATTGAAGTTCAGTGCCCGAATTTAAAGAATTTGAGCGGCGGTTTAAATTTAAGCTGCGGCTTAAATATGGTTGGTTTCACTTAAAATTGTTTCAAATGTTTCAAGATTTAAGCCGGCGCCGGGTTTTGTCGGATTTAAACCGCGACTTAAATTCTTTAAATTCCATCTCAGCTCAATTAGCACTGCAAACTAGCAGAAGGATAAGGTCTAAGGAATTGAGTATTTGGAACTAACTCAAACCTTATAATCCTTGTATATTTGCAACCTGATGGTGTAAACATTTCATATTTTAAACTTAAATTATTTTATATAACATACAGTGACTCCCACATGTATTAATACATAGAAAGAGTTTTTTTATAATGTCGTATTACATATGTAAGATCAAATGCCGCGGAAAAATGAGTTTAGCATTAATATATCAATTGCATTCATATTTCAGGGCTTTTAATTTAACTTGAATTAAAAATAAACAGAAGTTTCTTTAGAATTATCAAAAAACTTATAACGGTCTATGTATTCATATATCTGAAATTCACTGTATAAAGTTTGAAATATTTGAGGTCTACAACATTGAGTTGCAATGATAAAGGTATTTAAAAATCTGAGTTTGTGGCAAAGACTCATTTCCATTATGGAACATTTTGACCTCGCAGCTTTTTTAGTTTTGATTTCACGCACAAACATGAGATAGGCAAATATATTTGTTTGCAGAAATTAAATACCTCTTATATTTAGGAATGAAAACATGAGATAGGATTTCACGCACAAACATGAGATAGGCAAATATATTTGTTTGCAGAAATTAAATACCTCTTATATTTAGGAATGAAAACATGAGATAGACAAATATATTTGTTTGCAGAAATTAAATACCTCTTATATTTATGAATGAAAACATGAGATAGACAAATGTATTAGTTTGCATATTAGAAATTAAATAGCTCTTATATTTAGGAATGAAAACATGAGATAGGCAAATATATTTGTTTGCATATTAGAAATTAAATACCTCTTATATTTAGGAATGAAAACATATATACTAAAGTTTGATTTGTCAATGGTCGCCAATCCTCACAAAGTGTTCGATGGTCAATCTGTCTTCATGTCAAACAAGGTTAAATGTTCTTGAAGTATATTTTTGAAATCATATTTAGTAGATAAATAGTTTTATTGGATTGGAAATTTTGCTTTAATCTGTTTATCGAAATAATACGAAAATTTCGCGAAAAAATAACGCGAAAATTTCGCGAAAAAAATAACGCGAAAATTTCGAGAAAAAAAATTATTCGAAAATTTTCGCTTTTTCCGCGAAATTTCGCTTTATCTGTTTCGCGAAAAGCAATGGAAAATTTTCACATTTTTTCGGATTTTTTCGCGAAACGTTTTGTTCGCTGGAAACCCTCGTTGCAGTTTTGTCACAAAAATGTATAAGAAATTTGTTAATTTCTTTTTAACAACTATAGAGCTAAATACAAGTGCTTTATTGTAATAAAATCTATATGTCTGTAGGGCTAAAAATAGGATATGTACGAGTAAGTGAGCTTAAATCAAAGGCCAAGGCGTTGTGAAACTTTGAAGTGGACCCGGTCTTGAAAACTGGTGCAAATTTTCATAGTAGACTGAATCCATCGGAGATCCAAGCTATGACTTTAGATCACAATTCAACAAATAAAACCTAATTTTTTTTTGTATACTTGCTGCCGGCAGTACTGTTAGTTGAAAGATTGTTGAGTTATATACCAAAACTCTGTAAGTTGAAAGATTGTTGAGTTATAAGTTGAAAGATTGTTGAGTTATATACCAAAACTCTGTAAGTTGAAACATTGTTGAGTTATATACCAAAACTCTGTAAGTTGAAAGATTGTTGAGTTATATACCAAAACTCTGTAAGTTGAAAGATTGTTGAGTTATATACCAAAACTCTGTAAGTTGAAAGATTGTTGAGTTATAGATCAAAACGGGATTGATTTGAAATCAAAGAATCCAAACGCATATAGTTCTGAGTGAAAGGGAATCATTGAATGAGCAGCTTTGAATATAACTAGTAATAATTTTTTTTTTCTTAAATGACGAATATATTTTTAAATGCTTGATCTAAGTCTGCCTGGGTCCAAAGTTAATGAAAACCGAGAAGTTGAACTACATAGACTTGGTTGAACACCTTTTAGTTTTTTGTATGGCAGGTTCAGATTGAAAAGTGGTTTAACTAATTGTACGTAGTTCAACTACGTTTCCCTACTAATCAATTCAGGGCCACAAGGATGAACTGAAAACATATTAGAGCATTGAAACCCGCCGAGATTGACACGATAAAAATCTTCCAAAGAAAGGAGAAAAATTCGCAAACATTTTAACTAAACAGATATAAAAACATGCCAAAAAATTTGTACTGTGCAGTCCTACAATGTAGAAAAAAATTTAACCTTAAAAATATAACTTTATGTGATGAATTTTTTTATTGAGATAATTTTAAACTCAAAAAATGTTTTATACCAAAACAAAATTGGGAAATGTTAAAACTATCCTCAAGTAGTAGGCTGTGTGAAAATCTCTCTATTTAAAATTCAGTGATTGTGATGGACCAAACCTCTGTAGAGTAAAAAAGTAGATGTTAGTTCCACATTTATTGAAAATATATTTCGGTCTGGGTTGACCCTCGTCAGTTCTTGAGATTGTTTCTTCACAAAGATTAAAAACAAATCTCTCTTTGACAAAACTTACATTAAAACAACAATTAATATGATAAAATTTATTCAAAAGAAATAACTTTAAAACTTTATTTAAAACTTTCCCCGGCACCATGTTCACAAATTAACTACGTGGAGACTTGGGATCTGCTGTAAGGTTTTACGGAGGAGATTGGGGGTAGGGGAGTCCCAGGCTGGCTGGGGGGTAGGGGGGATCCATACATATTGGAGTGACCAGTCCCTTTGGAAATACCATCGGCAGTTCGCTTCAATTGCGCCAACCTATCGACAATACGTACAATAAAAACATATTTTTATTTAAAAAAACAGTACAATTAGTTTTTGATAGAAAATGATTTAGATTTTAATTTGAAACATTTTTTTGCTTCATTTTTTTGTGTTTTTTTTTGAAGGGGTGTGGGCGGGGGGAGGGGTTTAAAAATTGACCTGCTAGGATTTGAAGGTAGGGATGCAAAAACCATTCGTTCTGTATAATCTGGTAAACAGAGAATTCTATTGTCTACTAGATAATACTGATCCCCTACACAGAACCTAGATAATAATAAGAATAATAAATAATAATAATAATAATAATAATAATAATTATATCCATAATACCTATGACCACATTGTTGACACGCGAAGCACTCAAGATGATAAACATTTGTTTTTGCTCGCATCACCATTTCGAAAGCTGGAATTACCTGAACAACGATCAATTCTAAATTAAAAGGGAGTATATACGGTGATAACAACAAATGGTAAAATTGAAACGACAGTTCCTTTAAAGATAAAACTTAATAAGAAGTTTATCAGGAGAGAGATCTGAGAACCCAGACCGCCATCGGGTAAGCTATTCAACTATTGACGAAATCTCAAGAGTGGAATGTTTGATAAACAACTGTACTCTTTCTTACGGTTTGGTTTATCTGCACTCTGCAGGGCTAAAAAAAAACAAATCGCAAACATCCTTTGGATATGACGACAATATTTTCCTTAAAGTTGCTTAAATAATGGTGTATAGCACACAATTGTGAATTTGGCAAATAGCTTTGTAAATGGGTCGTCACTTCAGAATTCGTTTACTATCCCTTTAATGTAATTTTCTTTATTTCTCGTAATTATCTTCCAGAATAGTTTACTTTGCCTTTAATGTAATTTTCTTTATTTCTCGTAATTATCTTCCAGAATAGTTTACTGTCCCTTTAATATAATTTTCTTTATTTCTCGTAATTATCTTCCAGAATAGTTTACTGTCCCTTTAATATAATTTTCTTTATTTCTCGTAATTATCCTCCAGAATAGTTTACTTTCCCTTTAATGTAATTTTCTTTATTTCTGGTAATTGTCTTCCAAAATAGTTTACAGTCCCTTTACTTTAATTTTCTTTATTTCTCGTAATTATCTTCCAGAATAGTTTACTATCCCTTTAACGTAATTTTCTTTATTTCTCGTAATTATCTTTCAGAATAGTTTACTATCTCTTTCATGTAATTTTCTTTATTTCTTGTAATTATCTTCCAGTATTGTTTACTGTCTCTTTAATGTAATTTTCTTTATTTCTCGTAATTATCTTTCAGAATAGTTTGCTATCCATTTAATGTAATTTTCTTTATTTCTCGTAATTATCTTCCAGAATAGTTGGCTAATTAAATTTTTAAATAAAAACATAATTGCATGCCGTTTAACAAACTAGAAAATCAAGCAACAAATTAAAACAAGAAATAAAATGTAAAAAATTTAATTAAGTTAAATTAAGCCTCAATTAAATGTTTAAGATGTGGTTCTCCTTTAAATTAAAGCATTTAACAAATAATATTTAAGTTTAATATTTTAATTTTACTACTATTTAGAAGTATAACAAAAATATTATAAAATTATGTCGCTTGTAACTAGATAAACGCCAAAACAGCTAAAATGACCAAACCCCTATTTTTTGTGGTAACTTAGATCTTAGAGTTGGGCATTATTAGTTTTCGTATTTTTAGATATTATTAAATACAAAATTCTGACTCTGATAAAAAGTAAAAGCATGAACCAAGCAAACTTTAACGCTCGCTCGATGTGAAATCAGGCTTGTTAAACAACGATGTGAAAAATCAGGCTTGTTAAACAACGACGTGAAAAATCAGGCTTGTTAAACAACGTTGTGAAAAATCAGACTTATTTAAGAAAAAAACCACATGTTGGAAACAAAAAAGGGGTTTATCCAAGAATAAAAATAAACGAAGGAATGCCGCAACATATTCTAAGAAGACGACATTGCAGATAAATAGATTATCATCTTTTGTGGGACACCGGCACCCAGCACCCTGTCTGTTATAGTTTACCTTATTGCAGGCTGAACAATACCCAGTTGAACCAAATAACCGAAGATAGTCCCTTTTACATAGCAACAGGTTTCCCTAAAATAAAACAACAAATACAATGTTTTTATCATGCTTTTTCTTCTTGTATACTTTCAAGAACTAGACTTAAAAAATATTATAACACTTCTTTTTACAATTATTTTAAGACTACAAAACCAGTACTTTTTCCCTCACTTTTCATATCTTATAAATTTTCTACTTTTTCAAATTAATATTTCAAATTAATTTATTTCAAGCTAATATTTCAAATTAATATTTCAAGTTAATATTTCAAACTAATATTTCAAACTAATATTTCAAATTAAATATCGGTTTTATCTTCTCTCTCAATTCTTTGAAGACTTTTTAATCGAATAAAACTAATTGAACGTTTATAGATTATAGATTTATAGAATCAATTTCTTCATTTAAATTCATTTTCTAACTGGTTTAGAGGGGGGGGGGACGAATTTAACATGATTATACGATAAGAACCAGAAAACTGTGGAATAGGAAGACGACCTTAACCCAATAGTGTTTTTTGATGTTGTAACAAAGCAAATAGTTTTACTAGTAACCTTCATCTAATGTTGGGAACCTTTGCATTGCGAATATCGAGATCAATGGTTAATCTTAATTATTTTAAATCTGTAGATTAATTTAATCTTTATTCGATATCCTGCAGTGACATTGTACCCTAAAGGGAAAACTGAATTGAAGAAATTAAGTATTGATCCTCAAAAATATTGCTTACAGTGGATATCGAGATCAAGCGATCGAGATTATGGTTTTTCTACAGTGAAACCCTTAATAACGAATACATCGGAAGAATTTATCAAATGTCGTCTTGACAATTTTTCAATGAGTTTTATACTATATTTCAAAAATTTCAGTATTTGCCAGAATAAATAAATAGCCATAAATATGTGGAAACAATTTTTAAGAGTTCCATATAATCATTTAATTAAAAAACTAAATATATGCAACNTTTCATTATTATTATTATTATTTTTACTCTATTATGAGAGAATTATTATCCCGTGTTTTTCATAATTATCAGCCTTGTTTATCATGACTTCAAATAATTTACAAATATTTTGAAAGTGTTAGCACTACAGCTGACCATGGGAGAAGTTGAAATGTGCTTTATGCACATATTTCTTTCTGCGCATAAAGCTATATAACCAACAAATTAAGCCAATTTTTGCTTATGCATTTATTGTTCTTGTATGTACACGTTCTATTTAGCTCTCAATGTGAATTAACCAATATTTGGTCAAGTAAAAATATACAATCATCATTTTTTTTGTACAATTTGGTAAATTCGAAAAACCTAATATTTGAGTAGTGAGTCGTAATTTTCCAATTTTTTAATCATTTAAGGAATTTAATTGTAATCTTCGTCTTCCTTGTAAACATATACGCACAAATTGAAGGTGCAGTCACTGTTAACGCGGTTTCCGCGCACGCAACAATGGCGGATTTATTGTCAAAAATACCGGTTTAAAGAATTAAAGATATTTTATTTACCCGACCTGTCTCTACCCTTACCACTCCTCATTCATATTTCCAAGGAAGTAAAATTTTGGGTAGAGGTTGAATGGCCGGAGGGGGGGGGATGGGAAGAGGGAAAATGGAAGAAGGATGACTATACGAGAAGTGAGGGTAGGGAAGGGTACCTAGTTAGAGGAAAGGAAGTAATGGTTTGGAGGAGGGATGAAAGGAATGTAAAGGATGGCTAGGAGGAGGGAAAGAAGGAGGAGGGCAGGAAGGAATGGAAATGATGGCTAGGAGGAGGGCAGGAAGGAATGGAAAGGATTGCTAGGAGGAGGGCAGGAAGGAATGGAAAGGATGGCTAGGAGGAGGGCAGGAAGGAATGGAAAGGATGGCTAGGAGGAGGGCAGACCCGCCAAAATATCTTTTTACACCACTGGGACGTTGAACTCCTTAAACCAAGGTACCTAAAACTAACCTTTAAAAGAAATTTATCATGAATTTTATTTCCACACCCAGCGCACTCTTTTCTCTCCTGTTCATCTGATCTACAGGATCCTCCCTCCATCCTGATAAACTCCTCTCTTTTCCCCTCCTTCCCTTCCTTCTCATCCAGACCTCCCAGAATCATGAGTTTACTCAACCTGTAGGGAAAAAAAACAATTAAATTTCATCTTTTAAGGGACTGCAGATAAAATTTTGAATGACTCTTCATCGTGGAAGAGGTATTTTCAATTCATAAATGTACCCTTGAAACATCTGGTTGGTCATCTTATTATCATGTATGTAATTATTATGCAATATCATTTAGGTACAGGGTGTCCCAAAAAACATGGGAATTCAGTGACGAATTCGATATCGTCTTTTTAAATAATTCTTTGATTAATAATAGCTATGATCTAAAATCTAATCTAATATACCACTAGAAAATATATTACTTAGACATGGAAAACCTAATTCAACCTTTAGATAATTAGATTAGAAAAGTTTAAATATCTAAAGACGTAATTAATTCCAAGTAATCCTAAATTCTAGAATGGCTTGTCCGATTAATTACTGCACCTTTAAATATTTCTCTGATTAGAAATGATTGAGATATTCTCGGTTTTCTCACTAAAAGTTCAACAATTCAAAAAACCCAATAATATCTTTCTCATTGTTACTCAGAGGACTGTTTAAAGGTTAGCCTTTTTAATCAATATCATGCAACTCTTTAAACAAAGGACCGCTTGAAAATTAAGTCTACAGTCCCTTTAAACAAAGAGTTGCTTGAAAATTACGTCTACAGTCCCTTTAAACAAAGAGTTGCTTGAAAATTACGTCTACAGACCCTTTAAACAAAGGGTCACTTGAAAATTACGTCTACAGTCTCTTTAAACAAAGAGTCGCTTGAAAATTACGTCTACAGTCCCTTTAAACAAAGGGTCACTTAAAATTACGTCTACAATCCCTTTAAACAAAGGGTCTTTTGAAAATTACGTCTACAGTCCCTTTAAACAAAGGGTCACTTGAATATTACGTCTTACAGCCCCTTTAAACAAAGAGTCGCTTGAAAATTACTTAAACAGTCCCTTTAAACAAAGAGTCGCTTGCAAATTAACGTCTACAGTCCCTTTAAACAAAGGGTCGCTTGAAAATTAGGTCTACAGTCCCTTTAAACAAAGAGTCGCTTGAAAATTACGTCTACAGTCCCTTTAAACAAAGGGTCGCTTGAAAATTACGTCTACAGTCCCTTTAAACACCAAGCTGTCGGTAATACAAGGCTAATTGGAAAGTATTGCATTAATATTTACATTACACAGAATTCATACAGTGAAGCCCTTAATAACGAATACATCGGAAGAATTTATCAAATGTCGTCTTGACAATTTTTCAATGAGTTTTATACTATATTACGTAAATTTCAGTATTTGAGAAAATAAATAAATAGCCATGAATATGCGGGAACAGTTTTAAAGAGTTCCATATAATCAATTAATTAAAAAACTAAATATCTGCAACATTCCATTATCAGAAAGTGAAGAATACGACATTTGATGAATTCTTTCGATGTCTTCCTTATTAAGGGTTTCACTTTATAATACAGGGTGTTATAAAATGGACAAAAAACAGGAAAAAGTACAAAAATGGACGACATTGTTTTCTTTTCAAGAATATAAAAAAAATTGCCCTACTAAAAATACGATCTTTTTAAATACCCTATATACTTAAATGCCTTGAAATAGAAAAATAGTTTTATAGAAAAAAATAAATACGTGGCCATTTGTATTGCCTTTTTTTTTGGTTTCCTGATGTTTTTTTGAGTTAACTGAGAAAATTTTAAATTACAGCAAATCGAAACATTTTGATGCCTGAAAATTATCTAAATGGTTTATTCAAATCAAAATGTTTGAATTTCTCTGATTTGTCATCTATGGCATTGTGAGATTGAGGATAAAAAAGTTGTTTTATTATTGAAAAGTGTCGGGAAATAGATATAAAATTCATCATGTAAGAAATTGAAAACTTAACCCTTTTATGTACATTAAGATAACAATTGCAGATAAAATAAGAAATCCAAATGAGAAGTGACTGCTTTAAAAATCTAATCTAAGGGGGGGGGGGAAATCCTGAAACATGCCCTTTTGTTAAAAGAGACTCACTGACGTGGAAGAGACAGGGAAGGTTTACTCCAGAAGCAGTTCTCCACCAAGCACAGAGGATAATCTGAGACTGCAGGATGGATTTCTATAATTCTGGAATGTAATCGGAGAATCGGAGAACGGAGAACGGAGGGAGGTGTGTGCCGGGGAGGAGACGTATATTGGGTTAATTTCTCAACTCAACGAGATTTCTGAATACTGTCTAATAGACTGTATTATCTACAGGGTGTATCTAAATACTGTCCAATATACTGTATTATCTACATGGTATATCTGAATACAGCCTAGATAATTGTATTATTTACAGGGTGTATCTGAATACAGTCTAATAGACTGTATTATCAACAGGATGTATCTGAATACTGTCTAATAAACTGTATTAACTAAAGGTGTATCTGAATGCAGTCTAGAGAACTGGATCATCTACAAGGTATGTCTGAATACAGTCTAGAGAACTGTATTATCTACAGGGTATGTCTGAATACAGTCTAGAGCATTGTATTATCTACAGGGTATGTCTGAATACAGTCTAGAGAACTGTATCTACAGGGGTATGTCTGAATCAGTCTAGAGAACTGTATTATCTACAGGGTGTATCTGAATACAGTTCAGAGAACTGTATTATCTACAGGGTGTATCTGAATACAGTCTAGAGAACTGTATTATCTACAGCGTATGTTTGAATACAGTCTAGAAAACTGTGTTGTCTACAGGGTATGTCTGAATACAGTCTAGAGAACTGTATTATCTACAGGGTGTATCTTAATACAGTCTAGAGAACTGTATTATCCACAGGGGTGTATCTGAATACAGTCTAGAGAATTGTATTATCTACAAGGTATGTCTGAATACAGTCTAGAAAACTGTATTGTCTACAGGGTGTGTCTGAATACAGTCTAGAGAACTGTATTATCTACTGGGTGTATCTAAATGCAGCCTAATAGACAGCATTATCTATAGGATGTTTCTGAATACTGTCTAATATACTGTATTATCTACAGGGTTTATCTGAATACAGCCTAGAGAATTGTATTATCTACAAGGTGTATCTGAATACCGGCTAGAATAGACAGTATTATCTACAGGGTGTATCTGAATATTATCTAATAGACTATATTATCGATACAGGGTGTCACTGAATTATATCTAACATTAAGACACACCCTGTATCTATATATACCTATATATTTAAGATTACTGAATGGTCCATATGGTCTTGTATGTATAATTATATATATATAGTATCAGCATCCACTTCTTGATTGAGTTGGTGTAAATACACACTAACTAATCACATAAGACTTAAGTCGAGCCTAAGATCTCGCAGCTGTCAATCACGTGACACAAGATGTCGTCAGAGTTGGGTCGAAGATTGGGTCTTAAAGTCGGGTTTAAGGAATTACGGCTCGAGCCGAAGCTTTTAAATCGCGGGCTCAGCTTAGTTATATTATACTAATCTGAATTAAACGTTTACAGGAACTGTAGACGTAATTCTAAATAATGCTTATATGTCCACTTTCAGCCTTTTTCGGAATAAAAATTATTTAGTTTTTTTCTATCTGAAAATTGAATTTTGTCGATTGCGGTTCTTTATAAATGTGACTTGTGGGATAATGCAGCGGAAACAAGGCATGGAAATTGAAAAACTTTGAAGAAAAATCTTTCTATAATAAAATTCTCGATTTAATTAGTCTTTTTATAATTTGATTGTTATACGAGGTGTGTTTGATCAAGAATGCGAATTATATTAAAATTTCTTTATTTATTGGAGAATTTCCGTGATTAATAGCTTCACCCCCTGATTAGTCTAGGCTGGGGTAAATTAGAGATGCTCTAAAACAATTGAAGAAGTTATATCCTGAAATACCTGAAAACTATTTTCAATCCAGACGGTAGGGATAACTTGCTGACGGAGATATTCTTTTCTTTCCTATTTGAAAGATTTTCAATTGAAGCTTTCCTGCAAAAGTGAAATCGGATTTTGCATAAGAAGAAAAATTTACATAATTTATTTTCTTTTATTATTCTCATTATTATGTAAACAGTCCCTTTAATAAAAGGACTGCTGACTTGGTGGAAAAACACTTTTTTAAACGTCGGCCTTTCTGGCTTTACCTGTAAATATAGCTTGTATATGGTTTACTTGCATATATGCATGTAGTGGGTTCCAGTATAAAAGGTGGAATTACAAAAGGTATGAACGATCAGAAGGTAGAATGATCAAAAGGTAGAACGATCAAAATGTAGAACGATCAAAAGGTAAAACGATCAAAAGGTAGACGATCAGAAGGTAGAACGATCAAAAGGTAGAATCATCAAATGGTAGAACGATCTAAAGGTAGAACGATCAAAAGGTAGAACGATCAAAAGGTAGAACGATCAAAAGGTAGAACGATCTAAAGGTAGAACGATCAAAAGGTAGAATCATCAAATGGTAGAATGATCTAAAGGTAGAACGATCAAAAGGTAGAATCATCAAAAGGTAGAACGATCAAAAGGTAGAACGATCAGAAGGTAGAACGATCAAAAGGTAGAACGATCAAAATGTAGAACGATCAAAAGGTAGAACGATCAAAAGGTAAGTAATTCTACCTTTTGTAATTAGAACTTTTGTAATTCTACCTTTTGTAATGCTACCCTTTGTAATTAGACCTTTTGTAATTCTACCTTTTGTAATTCTATCTTTTGTAATTAGACCTTTTGTAATTCTAACTTTTGTAATTTTACCTTTAGTAATTCTACCTTTTGTAATTAGAACTTTTGTAATTCTACCTTTTGTAATTCTACTTTTTGTAATTCTAACTTTTGTAAATTTTACCTTTAGTAATTCTACCCTTTGTAATTAGACCTTTTGTAATTCTACCTTTTGTCGTTCCACCTTTAGTAATTCTAACTTTTGAAATTTTCCCTTTTATAATTCTACCCTTTGTAATTCTACCTTTTGTAATTCTACCTTTTGTAATTCTACCTTTTGTAATTCTACCTTTTGTAATTCTAACTTTTGTAAATTTTACCTTTAGTAATTCTACCCTTTGTAATTAGACCTTTTGTAATTCTACCTTTTGTAATTCTACCTATTGTAATTAGACCTTTTGTAATTTTACCTTTTGTAATTCTACCTTTTGTAATTTTACCTTTTGTAATTCTACCTTTTGTAATTATATCTTTTGTAATTCTATCTTTTGTAATTCTACCTGTTGTAATTATACCTTTTGCATGTTCTACCTTTTGTATGTTCTACCTTTTTTAATTCTATCTTTTGTAATTCTCCCTTTTGTAATTCTACCTTTTGTAATTCTCCCTTTTGTAATTCTCCCTTTTGTAATTCTACCTTTTGTAATTCAACCTTTTGTAATTCTACCTTTTGTCGTTCTACCTTTTGTAATTCTCCCTTTTGTAATTCTACCTTTTTGTAATTCTACCTTTTGTAATTCTAACTTTTGTAATTAGACCTTTTGTAATTCTACGTTTTGTAATTCTAACTTTTGTAAATTTTACCTTTAGTAATTCTACCTTTTAAAATTAGAACTTTTGTAATTCTACCTTTTGTAATTCTACCTTTTGTAATTCTACCTTTTGTAATTCTACCCTTTGTAATTCTACCTTTTGTCATTCAACCTTTTGTAATTTTACCTTTTGTAATTCTACCTTTTGTAATTCTATCTTTTGCAATTCTACCTTTTGTAATTTTACCTTTTGTAATTCTACCTTTTGTAATTATATCTTTTGTTATTCTATCTTTTGTAATTCTACCTTTTGTAATTCAACCTTTTGTAATTCTACCTTTTGTTGTTCTACCTTTAGTAATTCTAACTTTTGTAATTCTCCCTTTTGTAATTCTAACTTTTTGTAATTCTACCTTTTGTATTGGAGCCCTGCAGTGGGTATTATTTGTTAATTAGGTATACACAGATAATTAGAAGGTTACAACTACTAGATAACAAAGATGTATTCATAGAGTATTGAACGCCTGTAGAGTACCCACAGAGTTTTAAATTTTTTTAGAGGATCAACAGATTACAACAAATAATTTAAATATCTCGAGTATCAACAGCCTTTGGAACAAAATAAGGGTATCCACAGAGTATGTAGTGTTTTTAATGCATCCACAGAGTTTGAGAAAAAATTAGGGTGTAACGAATGTAATATGGTTATACACAGAGTAAGACACATGATAAGAGTATTCCCAGAGTGTGGCAGGTGGTAATTTAAAGCTTTATTTTCCATGTCGTGTGGTTAGCTTGTCCATAGATATCTTCTCAATGTTGGATACTGTGTGATGAGCTTCTCTATAGATATCTTCTAAATGTTGTATGTCGTGTGGTTAACTTCTCTACAGATATCTTCCCTATGTTGTATGTCGTGTGGTTAGTTTAATTATAAAAACAATGGCCTGGTCATAACTTTATCTCCTGGCCAAAATAAACCGTTTATAATATATCTAATCGCAAATATAAATATTATGAATAGTCAAAACGTGTAAACCCGAACCTGAACCTGAACCTGAACCTAAACCTGAACCTGAACCTGAACATAAACCTGAACCTGAACCTGAACCTGAACCTGAACCTTAAAATGAACCTGAACCTAAAAATGGACCTGAAACTGAACCTGAAATCGAACATAAATCTAAACTTGGACCACACAAAATGAATTTCTTTTTTGTGGTGCGGTGAATGGTGATATAGGAAAAAATTTCAGGAAACAATTAACTTTGTTCTAGTTAGACTCCGTCCCCACTTTTAAATGGGTGTTGGTCCTAAAAAAAGCTAGTTAATGTAAGGAACCACACTGCAAAAAGTGTTTTTTTATTTCCCCCATAAAATATTAATTCATGTCTTTGTAAATCCGATAACGACCTCAAGGGGTAGCGAAGGGAACATGCCCAAGGGGTATTGAAGGGAATGACCCCAAGGGGTACCAAAGGGAAAAAGGGAGGGGGAACGAAACTTTGATTTTGGGGGATTTTGGCAATGGCGTGCTAAAATTCTTGAGACTGTCTGTAGGCAAAAAGTAAATATTTAGAATTCTAAATCAATAATTTGCATTTTATCTGCATATCATTTTGTTCCGCTGTAACAAATAGAGGCTAATAGTAAATTACGTTGTATGTTGTTCAACTAGCTAAATGTGATCATTATTAAATTTGTAAATCATGTATTGCGATTAACCC